TGTGTGTTTGTATGTTTCTGCTCCTCCCTGCTCCCCTGTGCCAGCCTTCCCATACAGGTGCCATAAGGAAACAACACCCCCCCCTCCAAGGGTCACTCTCTTCCTTTGCCCCCCCCCCAAAAAGTCCAAGATATTTTTATTTTAATTTTTTTTTTTGCAGCAACCAGTGGCAAGGATTTTGCACAAAGTGACACGGGTGTCCAGCAACCGAGTCAGGGCCCCATTGCATGTCGGGATTTAGCTGACCGACGACGGACCATTCCGAGAGTCCAGGTAGGGATCGCGTAAACAGGAAAAAAGGGTCATCTTTTTGTTCTTCTGATTTTTGAAAGATGGGAGAGGAGAGAAAAACAGATCTGGCTTTTGATGCCTCCGCTGGAAAGAGGGATGTGTCGGCTGCCAGCAATCGTGGTCAGCGGAAATCCTAGTCTAACACACACACACACACACACACACACACACACACACACAGGTTGCGATCTTCCCGTACCCAAGTTTTGCAGCCTGGCAGGTAGTCCTCGACTTACGACGTCGTTCGAGCCGAAAATTTTTGCTGCTAAGCGAGGCAGAGGTTAAGTGAGTTTTGCCCTGTTTCACAACCTTGCCGAATCGCTGCAGCTGTTCAGATAGTAAGACGGCCGTTAAGTGAATCCAGCTTCCCCATTGTTTCCTTCCCTGAAGGTCGCAAAACGGGGATGACGTGACCTCGGGACATTGCAACCGTCATAAATCTGAGTCAGTTGCCAAGCATCTGAATTTTGATCGCGTGACCTTGGGGACACTGCGACGGTCGTTAAGTGTGAAAAACTGTCGTAAGTCACTGCAACCGTTATAAATCTGAGTCAGTTGCCAGGCGTCTGAATTTCAATCGCGTGACCCTGAGGATGCTGCGACGGTCGTAAGTGTAAAAAATGAGTGTTAAATCACTCTTTTTCAGTGCTGTTGTAACTGTTGTCCCTAATTGAATGGTTATAAAGTTGGGAATTGCCTGCAGTCTCTTCCTTCTCCATATTTGACCACCTCATGTTGAAACTCCGAGTTTGTTGCACTGTTTGTGCACAGCACTGAGCAAGCCAGGAATCATGGCTTGTTATCCACTGACAAGCTGGAGCTGGGGAATCAGGGTTTTGTCTCAGTTTCTAGCTTGTTGGGGAGGGAGGGAGACAGGCAAGGATTGGAGTACGGGATTAACCGAACCACAGCAGTAGCATCCTTGTCTGTTTGTCTGGTTTATGGATTTATGAAGTGTATATGCAGGTGGGCCTCGATAAAACCATTCGTTTAGTACAGGGGTCTTCAAATGTGGCCCTTTTATGACTTGTGGACTTCAACTCCCAGAATTCCTCAGTCGGCCATTTTGATGAAACCGCAGGCTTAGATCCAGACCAGGGTCTTCAAACTTGGCCCTTTTGTGACTTGTGGACTTCAATTCCCAGAATTCCTCAGTCGGCCATTTTGATGAAACCGCAGATTAGGGGTCTTCAAACGTGGCCCTTTTATGACTTGTGGACTTCAACTCCCAGAATTCCTCAGCCAGGCAATGGCTGAGGAATTCTGAGAGCTGAAGTCCGTAAGTCATAAAAGGGCCAAGTTTGAAGGCCCCTGGTTTAGTGACTGTGTGTAATTACAACATTGAGAAAAGTGTCTTATGACCAGTCCTCACACTTACGACCACCATGGTATTTCCCCAAGGTCACGTGACCAAAATGCAGGCGCTTGGCGACTGACTCACATTTATGACGGTTGCATCCCGAGGTCATGTAATCACCATTTGCGGCCTTCCTAGAAGCAGAGTTAACGGGAGAAGCCAGAATTGCTTAACGACTGCATGATTCTCTTCACAACCGTCGCAAAAAGAGACTGTAAAATCAGGCGCCACTCCCTGAACAAACCATCTTGCTTAGCAACGGTGGTCGTAAATGTGAGGACCGCTCAACTCCCAATGGCCCCGTAGAGAGATGGGCCGGCAAATAAGTTGAATAAAATAAATAACTGGCCCCGTGCGTTGACAAGTTTAAAAAAGGGTAAAAACAAGAAAAAAGACCAAAAAAGGGGCAGGAAAGAACGAGTGAAGAGGGCCGAACTAGCAGATTCCCTATATAGGAAGTCCTTGACTTACGACCACAATTGGAGCCAAAATTTATGTCGCTAAGTGAGACGCTGGTGAAGTCAGCTTTGCTCCGTTTTATGACCTTTCTTGCTATGGTTATTTACAGAATCACCACAGTTGTAAAGTTAGTGACACGGTCGTTAAGTGAATCTGGCCTGTTTGTCAGAAAGTCACAAAAGAGGATCACGTGTCCCCGGGACACTATGACCGTCATAAATATGAGTCAGTTGCCGAGTGTCTGAATTTTGAAAATATGACCGTAGAGATGCTGCAACGATCGTTAAGTGTGAAAAACGGTCCTAAATCACTTTTTTCAATGCCGTTGTAATTTTGAGCGGTCACTAAATGAACTGTTAAGTCGAGGACTTCCTGTACACACCACGAAGCCTGTTCTCAGCATGAGGAAAGTTTCCAGCATCGTGGTTTGCTGTACTCTGTGAACCCACCCAGGGTTAGATTAAATTGCTAGAATTGGGTATGGTTGCTAGAATTGGGTATGTCTAGTTTAACGAAGAGAAGGACAAGGGGGGACAGGATAGCAGTATTCCAATACCTCAGGGGCTGCCATAAAGAAGAGGGAATCAAGCTATTTTCCAAAGCACCTGAAGGCAGGACAAGAAGCAACGGGTGGAAACTAATCAAGGAGAGAAACAACCTAGAACTAAGGAGAAACTTCCTGACAGTGAGAACAATTAATCAGTGGAACAGCCTGCGTCCAGAAGCAGTAAATGCTCCAACATTGGAAGTTTTTAAGAAGAGACTGGACAGCCATTTGTCCGAAATGGTGTAGGGTTTCCTGCCTGAGCAGCGGGTTGGACTAGATGACCTCCAACTTTACTACTATTACTAAACCTTTTCTACATCTTTCTATGCAATGCCCTTAACAGCCCCCTTGGCGTGCAGCTAGTGAGTCTACCCTGCAGATCTTAACATAAAATCACATCGTTATTTTAAATAGCACCATTTCCTATAACGGTCGTCTGAGACTTGCTTTCCAGAATGCTTCTAGTCCTCATGATCCCGTTCTTAAAATTTTTAGCAGATATTTTCATCTACAGCACAACACCCTGTATGTAAGTCACAGAGGAAAGGGCGAAGCGATTGTTTTTAAAATCAGACTGGCAACCTCAAGCCGTGGGCCTCAGTCTTCCGCCTCTGAAATGGGAAGAATTCCCAACTGACTTGACAGAGAAATAAAGAAGGATTAGGCAGCAGAATGCCATTTCGGCTGGGTGGAAATCATATTTGAGCCGTCTTCCCCACATATTCTGATAGATGCATAATAGCATTAATCCGTCAAGCTCCCTTCAATCTTAAATGGTGCAAAACTGCCTCAACAGCATTCCTCAAACCACAGAAAGCCATCTCCAGCGCCGGAAGTAGATGGATCCTGCCCCAAACGTCTTCCAATTTATATATCAGATTCTCCTTTGGCAGTAAACAGGCTACATATGCATTTTAAATCAATAAACACAAAACTCAGGGCCGTAGTTTAAAAGCAACCCTGGACTCAAAGGAAAGATATCTTTCGGTCTTCCCCAAATCCCAGTTTATAAATTCCCTTAATTCATCCTTATTTATAAAACACAACTTGGCCGAGGAGAAGGGAGAAGGGAAAAAAAATCCAGCGAATTGTACTTTATTTACATTTTTGAAATTCCAAAGCCGGGCAAAAGGAAACTTGATCTAACCTTTTTCCTATTTTAATTGGGGAGATTCAGCCGGCTTGCGACTAAAAACATGAGCAGCTCTCAATAATTACTTAGCTAACGAGTTTAAATAAACCAAGAAGCAGGGCAATAAATAGAAATAAAATGGTTTCACTCACTGGAATCGGAGAAATATCCATCTTCCCGCAGACCTTCTCTAGCCCAACTCAATTATTTGGACATTATTCTCACTGTGTTTTCTAACTGGCGGTAGGGATATTAAATTATTTCCAAATTTATATTCCTAATACAATTCAGCAAATGGTGTGGGGGACCAGCCAAGGAACTGTCTATTTCTTCATCTCCAGCAGACAAGTGGGTGATGCAACAAATATTTTTTAAAAAAAAATAATCCAGCATTATTAGAAACATGCAAATCCACACACACACACACACACACACACTTTATTCCCAAATAAAAACAAATTCTCAGGAATGAAACTGGAATTATGCTAAAGAATCCAGGAATTCTATTTGCTATGGAAATCAAGGGCTGAGGTTTAAGATCTCTTTCTGTTTTTTCTCCAAAAATCCCAGTTGACTTCACTTTGTTCATCCTTTCTTATTTTATTTATTTAATTAAGTCTCTATGTTGCCTGGAAGTCTCCCCTTACGAGGTGACTCATAGAAATTTCATAAAATAATTTATTACTTTATATACTTTTCTTAAAACACCCCTTACCACCACCCCCCATTGCTTTATCCAGGTTAAAACAAGAGCTGACTCCAGCCAGAACACAAAAATTGATAATCAATTCATCAATAACTAGATTTTTTTTGGCCCCCTTTCCTACGGTGCCAGCCGCACCAACCGCCGTGAAGAATTGTGTGCCTCGCTGTTCAGGAGGTACGCACAGCCACATGCACAGTACAGCACACCCACAAAAACAGCTCTGGGTCTCTTTTACCTTCCCAACACAAACTCTGGAGGCCCTGCTAAATATTATTTTTATTCCTCTATCCGCGGCTGCCGGTAAGAACACATTTGCAAATGCACTTTCTGCTTCCAAAGCAAAGGAAAATGCTTCTCAAAGCCGGCGGGGTGGAGAGAAGAAAAAACAACAACAACAAAAAAAAAACCCTCACAATATCAGCTTACTTTTGGATTAAATTATTAAAAAGTACTCCGATGATCACTGCTGCTGGAAAGCAGCGGCGGAGGGGCTGGTGGCAAAGCTTACCTACGCTGCAACTTTAGAGATGATGGATGCAATGCAAGACGACGACGGTGCCCGTGTTTGGTCTCTCCTTCCAAGCACCCCAAAAACCCCACTCCAGCCTGGTTGGCACACTCGGGCGGCCTTGCACACTCAGGTGGGTGAGCAAGCCAGGCAGAAGACGGAGCTCCTGGTCCTGGCCGTGGCCTTCCATATTAATAGTCGCCCGGCCAAGGCATCCTTCTCCGTTGCTCACTTGCAATTGGCGAGCTGGAAAAAATGGGTGGGCAGAGGCACCGGGTTGCACAGAGGCGGACGCTGTCAATCCCAGGTGGGGAGAGAAATGGGGGGTGGGGGAATAAGGGGGGGTGGGTGGGCAGGAAAAGCTGGGGAACGCAGAGGTGGAAAAGCAGGAGGGGAAGGGGGAGGTGAGGACTAAATTCCCAGAAAAAAAAAATAAATAAGATATTTTGTGGTTCGGTAGGATCGCTCCCTGGGACTCTGCTGCCTTGGGCGTCCATCCACCCCCTTCTCCTTAGCTTTCTCTCCGGATGGGTGGATAGAAGGATGGGTGGAGGGAGAGAGGGGAAGAAGGGAGAAGAGAGGGATGGGTGGAGGGAGAGAGGGGAAGAAGGGAGAAGAGAGGGATGGGTGGAGGGAGAGAGGGGAAGAAGGGAGAAGAGAGGGATGGGTGGAGGGAGAGAGAGAGAAGAGGATGGAAGGAGAGATAGTGGAGGAAAGAGGGGAGGGAAAGTGAGAGAAAGAAAGAAGAGAGGGAGGGAGGGAGGAAAGATCAGAGAAGAAGAGAAGAAATGGATGAGTGGAAAGAGAGGGAGGAAAGAGAGAGAAAGGGAGAGAGAAGAAAGAGAGGATGGGAGGATGGATGGAGCAAGGGAAGATGGAAGAAAGAAGAGATGGATGCGTAGAGAGAAGAGAGGGAGGGAGGGAAGGAAGGATAGATGGATGGATCAGGGAAAGCAGAGAGAAGAGATGGATGAGTGGAGGGAGAGAGGGAGAGAAGGAGAGAGAGAGAAAGGGACAGGACTGAAGGAAGGAAGGAAAGAAACGGAATGAAGGAGGGAAGGGAAGGTCAGAGGGAAGACAGATTGATCAGGGAAAGCAGGAAGAGAGAAGAGATGGAGGGAGGGAGGGGAGGAAGGAAGGAAGGAAGGATCAGGGGAAGAAGGGAGAAGAGATGGATGAGTGGAGGGAGAGAAGGAGAGAGAGAGAGAGAGGGAAAGGGACAGGACTGAAGGAAGGAAAGAAAGGGAATGAAGGAGGGAAGGGAAGGTCAGAGGGAGGAAAGATCGATCAGGGACAGCAGGAAGAGAGAAGAGAGGGAGGCAGGGAGGGAAGGAGGAAGGATCAGGGGAAGAAGGGAGAAGAGATGGATGAGTGGAGAGAGAGAAGGAGAAAGAGAGAAAGGGACTGAAGGAAGGGAAGGGAGGGAAGCAGGGAAGTTCAGAGGAAGAAAGAAGAGATGGGAGGGGAGGAGAGAGAGAGGAAGGAAGGAAGGAAGGAAGGAAGGAAGGAAGGAAGGAAGGAAGGAAGGAAGGAAGGGGTGAGCTGCGCCGTCTCTACTACCCCTTTCACTCCGGCTGGTGAATAAAGAGGGAGAGGATGGGAAGGAGAAGGCAGGAAACCCCATTAAAGTGACCCAGCACTGGGGCTTCTCCTAAGTCAGTGTTTCCCAAACTTGACAATTTTAAGGCATGTGGACTTCAACTCCCAGAATTCCACAGCCAGCAACGCTGGCTGTGGAATTCTGGGAGTTGAAGTCCACATGCCTTAAAATTGTCAAGTTTGGGAAACACTGTCCTAAGTCAGCAGAATTCCCCGGAGCAACGCAAAGCCTTGCCGGTCCTCCAATGCCATCTCAGCGGATGAAAGCTGCAGACGCTCGGTTTTCAGGACGTCTGGGCAGCGCCAGGCATGTGTCTTCCCTGCAGCCTCGAACCCTGCACCAGGATACCCGCCAGGCCGGCTTTCTCACCCACCCTCCACGGTGGTTGTAACCACGGCAGCAGTGGGGGGGGGGTTTGACAACGGGCAGAGGGGCTGCTGGTGCTATTTCACCTTAAACCAGTGTTTCTCAACCTTGACCGTTTTAAGGCATGTGGACTTCCACTCCCAGAATTCCACAGCCAGCAACGCTGGCTGTGGAATTCTGGGAGTTGAAGTCCACATGCCTTAAAACGGTCAAGGTTGAGAAACACTGCCTTAAACCGTGATATTCTGGTGGAATAATGCAAGATTTGACTTTAAAAACGGAGGGTTGGGAAGCTAGAGGAGAGGGGGTGCTCGCCCTGAGGCTTGGGACCCCCCCTCCCACCAAAGCATCCAGAGGACCACTGGGGGACCCAAAGGTTGACTTCTACGGACCTGGGTTGGATCACGGCACTTTGCGCCTTTTGAGGAAGTGCTTAATCTCTGCCAATTCCTACTGGACAAATTTCTCAGCTTTGCAGGAAAGAAAAAATTGAAACACACACCCCCCCCCTGTCCAAAAAAACCCCCCTTTGGGGTTTCTAAGTCAAGTGCCCCATTTCTAACTTGGTTCACGCTCCGGGCCTTTTCACACGCACGCACGCATCAGCCGCAGTAGCACGCCGTGACTTGTTAACCACGTTTGAACGATTAAATAAACCACCATTCGCTCCCTTTGCCCCACAAGCTAAGCCATAAACCGCAGTTTGCAAAGTGCAACGGGGGTGGGAGGGATTCGCTTCTCACACCAGCCCCAAAACAACCCAGATTTGCAGCTTGGTGCAGCCCGCAAACCCAGTCCCACCACACTCCTTCCACCGTTGCAAACCTGGCTAGACAAGCCATCATTAAAAGTGACAGGCATTGCAACGTGGCTTGAAAATAAAACCTGGCTTGGGAACTAAACTCCCAAGAGGGGAGTTATAATAATAATAATAAAGTTGGAAGGGACCTTGGAGGTCATCGAGTCCAACCCCCTGCTCAGGCAGGAAACCCTAGACCATTTCGGACAAATGGCTGTCCAGTCTCTTCTTAAAAACTTCCAGTGTTGGAGCATTCACAGCTTCTGGAGGCAGGTTGTTCCACTGGTTAATTGTTCTCACTGTCAGGAAGTTTCTCCTTAGTTCTACGTTGCTTCTCTCCTTGATTAATTTCCATCTGTTGCTTCTTGTCCTGCCCTCAGGCGCTTTGGAGCATAGCTTGACTCCCTCTTCTTTGGGGCAGCCCCTGAGATATTGGAACACTGCTATCATGCTTCTTCTTTTAGTTTAAATCACAGACTCATTTCACTCTTAAGCGACTTGAAAGTTTGCAAATAATAATAATAATAATCCACATCTGCCTATCCCAGGTCCTGGGTAAGGACTCGATAGGTAGACAAAATGCCAAATCCAGTCTGAACATCTGGCTGACTGTGCGATGATCCATAACAATAATAATAATAATAATATATTATCTGCCTATCCCAGGTCCTGGGTAAGGACTCGATAGGTAGACAAAATGCCAAATCCAGTCTAAACATCTGGCTGACTGTGCGATAATTCATAATAATTATGAATAATTATTAAATAATTAATAATTAAATAATAATAATTATTATTATTATTTGTGAGTGCAGCAAAATCGCGCAAACTGATTACAAATGTAAACATGACCGAGTTGCTAAATTAATCCACTGGGCATTGTGTAAAAAATACGACTTTGCCTGTGCCCGAAAAGTCGTGGGAACACAGGGTGGAAAAAGTGGTTGAGAATGAGAGGGTGAAGATCTTGTGGGACTTTCGAATACAGACAGATCGCCATTTGGAACACAACACGCCGGATACAGCAGTTGTAGAGAACCGAAGTGTACAGCTGATTGATATCGCTGTACCAGGAGATGCTAGAGTCGAAGAAAAAGAACTGGAAAAAAATGACGAAATATCGCGACCTGCCCATCGAAACTGCGCAATTATGGATGAAACATGTAACGGTGGTACCCATTGTCATCGGGGCACTGGGAACTATGTCCAAAAACTTTGCAAAATACATCAAGAAACTGCACCTTCCTACAATAACTCCAGCAATGTTACAAAAAACTGCGCTACTCAGAATATCTTATATTTTAAGGAGATACCTGGTTGACACCTAGGATGCTGGTAGCAACCCGTGTCAACCATCAGCGCCAGCCAATTTGACTGAGGTTCATTTTTAATGAATTAAAGATGATAATGATAATGAAGAAGAAGAAGAAGAAGAAGAAGAAGAAGAAGAAGAAGAAGAAGAAGAAGAAGAAGAAGATAATGATGATAATAATGATGATAATGATAAAGAAGAAGTAGTAGTAGTAGTAGTAATAGTAGTAGTAGTAGTAGTAGTATTTGGAAGGGACCTTGGAGGTCATCTAGTCCAACCCCCCGATTAGGCAGGAAACCCTATATCATTTTGGACAAAGGGCTGTCCAGTCTCTTCTTAAAAACTTCCAGTGTTGGAGCATTCACCGTTTCTGGAGGCAGGTTGTTCCACCGGTTAATTGTTCTCACTGTCAGGAAGTTTCTCCTTAGTTCCAGGTTGCTTCTTTCTTTTGTGAGTTTCCATCCGTTGCTTCTCGTCCTGCCTTCAGGGGCTTTGGAGAATAGCTTGACCCCCCTCTTCTTTGTGGCAGTGCCAATCTTAAAAAGTGCCAATTTTTAAAAAAGGGCAATGTTTAAATCCCGACTCTGTTCAACCAGGGCTGTAAACCAGGAACCAAAGACAAAACGGATTTTCAAGACTGATTTGCAAGGCTCAACCTCGAAAACTGCATGCTCAGCTCAAGCTGGAACTTCGGATTTGGGGGGGGGGGGGGAAATCAGCGTTTCAGATCCTTGCTCTTGTGAGAAATGAAAAGCAAATAACCAATGCAGAAGCTTAATTGAGCAAAGTCGTTACGTCTTCCTCCGAGGCTTAATTAAACCTACTGTGCCTAGCAGACAAGCAACTTGAGGTGGGTGGAAGATGTCTAGACAAGCTCTTGAGAAGACCTCCCCGCTCAAAGCAGGAAGGCATTCGAGATAACATTATTTTAATTCTGTAACAAGCTGGAGTTTTTTTCTCCCTGGGGACCATCCTCCAGATACGCAGAATAAGGACGCTGTTGAGAGGACAATGTGGTCAATTGTAAAACCAGCCGGTGAGGCGATGGTTATTGTGTTTAGAAGATCCGGTGACCCAACATGTTGACCTAACTTAAGATCCACCTCAATCTTAGGCAGGCCCACCTGGGTCTATAGGGTTTCCTGCCTGAGCAGGGGGTTGGACTAGATGACCT